CCCCCACAAGCCAACAGGACTGTGGTGGCTTTTACACTGGAGGAAAATCCGTGCAATGATGAAAACCCTGTGCATCTTTCTCCACCGCTTCATTCTGCGACAGGCAAGCTTTCGTGGCTGACTGTGCCTGCGAGTGGGGGGGTTATCCAGGATAGCCCCTGTTCTTCTTCTTCTTATTTTTTTTTTTCTTATTAGAAAGAAAATCTTCTGGAAAGCCTCTGGGGCTTGAGTGCTGCAGAGTTCTCCGTGCCAGAAATGTTCGATTGGTTTTGCTTTTTTTAAAAGAAACTGTAATTATATATAGCTCTTTTTTTAAAAAAAAATTAGTCTTACAGCATTGACAGCGCCTGGTGCTTTTGTGGAGCGCTACCTGACCTTGGCTTGCCTCAAGGGGTTTATGCACTCGTCAATCAATAACTATAAATAACAATAAATGAGAAGAAAAGGCAGTTCGGTGTCATGGCGAAGGTGCTGAGTGACCTTGGGCCAATCCCCAGGAGACGGTGAGTTCTAGTCCTGCCTAAGGGATGAAAGCCAGCTGGCTGACTTTGGGCCAATCCCCAAGTGATGGTGAGTTCTAGTCCTGCCAAAGGGATGAAAGCCAACTGGGTGCCTTTGGGCCAATCCCCAGGTGACGGGGAATTCTAGTCCTGCCTAAGGGATGAAAGCCAATTGGGTGCCTTTGGACCAATCCCCAGGTGATGGTGAGTTCTAGTCCTGCCTAAAGAATGAAAGCCAGCTGGCTGACTTTGGGCCAATCCCCAGGTGATGGTGAGTTCTAGTCCTGCCTAAGGGATGAAAGCCAGCTGGCTGACTTTGGGTCAATCACCAGGTGACAGGGAATTCTAGTCCTGCCTAAGGGATGAAAGCCATCTGGGTGACTTTGGGTCAATCATCAGGTGACAGGGAATTCTAGTCCTGCTTGAGGCATGGAAACTGGCTGGCTGACTTTGGGCCGGTCCTCCCTCCCACCCACCTTGCAGGGTTGTTGTTTTGGGGAAAAAAGAGAAGGAAGAAGGAATAATAGGTTTGCACCTTGAACTATTTATAAAAATAATAAAAGACGAGGTGTAAATATGTAAGTTAAAAAAAACCAAACCCATCTTTTTGGGATTACCAGCCCCTCAAGCTTGCAAACCAATTACGGTAGCTGATCAATCCCGCCCAGCCGTTTGCTAACGCCCTGGGTTTACAGACAGTGTAAAGAAGCTTTGTGTGTGTGTGTGTGTGTGTGTGTGTGTGTGTGTGTGTTAATAACAGTTTACGATATCTTCTGATACAACAGGTCAGAATTGGCCACTGATGTGATCCTTCTGGGCTCCTGCCAAGCCCTTGGCCTTCAAAGATAAAATTAGCCCAAAGCTAAATTATATCTTGTCTGCTAATTGAGGCACGTTTGGGTTGCAGCCACAACTTCCCGTCTGGCGTCTGCCTGGCCAGAGTGACGGGCGAGCGAGCCAGCAGGGTTAGCAAAGTCAAAAGCACGCCCAGGTGTCTCTTTTCTTCCCCTTTTACACCTGGGAAACTGGATATTGGGCAGGAAGCCACCTGAAATCTTAACTGTTATTCCGAATGGGCAAGGATCTTACGACTGTCTTACCCCAATGAAAGGGATGAATTTCTGGTAGGAGTCCTCATCTTGGCTGCAGACAAAAAGAAAGAAGGAGTTATTTCGACAAAGGAACTGATGTTTTAACATCGCTACAAGAGAGAGTTAGCCAAGTTTGCATCTGCAACAGGTTGCGGGCCTGCCAAGAAAGAGCTGGAAGAATGGCTGGACCAGCAGCCCTGGTTGATGTGGAGAGTAAGAAGAGGATAGAAATATGCAGGATCTGTTCTCTCTAGCCAAAGAGAAGCCAAAGGCCAGAGCAGTCTATCTCTCAAACTTTGGCGACTCTAAAGTAGACTTCAACTCCCAGAATTTCCCAGCTGTTGTAATGACGAGGCAGTCAAATTGTTTGATCATGAACAACCGAATCATGCTGATCTTTATTGGAGTCTAGTCTTGCATTTATACACATTTTTAGTTATCCTCCATCACTGGTTAACTTTGGTTACTGCTTAACTTATGGTTACTGTTTAGCACAGTAATCCACACAATGAATTATCTCTACTTAAAGTCTAACATAGGTTGACTTCCTCTCTCTAATCCTCCTTTAGATTAGTGACTTTGTTTGCCTGAGTTGTATTTGCTTGGAAACATTCTTTATCTGAGGTTTGTCATCCGAGATAGGAACATTCCTGCAATTACAACTCTACACCCAGCCAGAATCTACTACCCATGGGATATTTTAGGTTGTCTTTGGTTATCTGAAATTTTATTGGCAATTCAAGGCTATTTTATTCCTTAAACTGAATGAATGGTGATCTCTGCTGTTTTTAGATATTTCCTTGTATTACTATGCTCCTTGAAAATAGTGAGGGAGGGAGGAGAGAGAAGATGGAGAAAAGGAGGGAGGGAGGGAAGGAGAAAGGACGGGAGGGAAGGAAGGAGGAAGGGAGGGAGGAAGGAAAGGAGGATGATGGAAGGAAGGGGGAAGGATG